TTATATTTGAAAAATAATTATTTGAGAAAATTATATTTGGAAGAGAGTTATCCGTAAGAATTATATGTGAAAGACATTTATTTGAAGGACTTGATTTAATTAGGTGTAATTGTGTTTATTAATTGTTGAGTGATATTAATGGTATTCTTGTTGTCTGTTGTGCATATCACTAGTTATTTTATCCTGCTCTTATTATTATTTGTTTCCTATTATTTGGTATATTATATTGCACAGGTTATTAGACTAGTGAGTATCTTGACTTTACCTCGTCTCTACTCCATTGAGGTTAGTCTTGATACTTACTGGGTATCGACCATGGTGTACTCATACTACACTTCTGCACATTTTTATGCAGAGCCAGGTATTGGAGATATCGGACTTGAGCAGAGTTAAAGCGCGATCGTAAGGATTCAAGGTAGAGATGCTTGGCCGTCGCAGTCTCTTGGAGTCTTTTCATTTCATTGTACTGTTAATTTGTAATCAAACAGTATTGTATATTCGGTCCTCGTGATCATTCTATGTATTCAATTAGAGTTCGTGACTCAGTACTACCAGTCTTGGGAGGTTGTATATTGTAATTATTTCCGTTGTTAGTTTTTATTAAAAAAAATGGCTTCAAAAGGTAATCTAAATCGGCTTACATAATCTTAGAGACTAGGTGCCATCACAACGCCTGTTGTGGAATTTTGGGTCGTGACAGATATTTGTGCATGTCTTCTCTATATGCTGAATTATAGTTGGTCTGCAATACTTGTGCATATCTACTCTATGTGCACCCATGGCCTTACCTGTACTCCATGCTTAAATTTCGGTAAAGTTGTTATGTACATGTCTATGTTATTGAGCTGCAGGTTAAGGAAAGTGAGTATCTTTTGACTTAAAAACCTCGTCACTACTTCACTGAGTTTAGTCAAGATATTTACTGAGTACATAAGGTCAATTATAATCATACTATACTTCTGCACCCTGCACGCAGATCTTGGAGTTGAGTTGCTATGGATAACAAAGGCTAGCATTGAAGATGCACCGACATTCCAGATACAAGCTACCGCTTGTTCATGGTAGTTTAGGATTTGTACTTCTGTTTATATATATTCAAATAAATATTGTATTTTCTTCGTACCAATGTTGTAAATCTAAATCTTAGTGGCTCGTGACTTGTACTACCAGTCTTTGGAACAGTTGTATTGATTTTTGTATTTATTCTTTTATATTATTATTATTATTATTTATTTATTTATTTATTGGATGATTCCCAGTTGGAATTGTGGCATATGTTAGTTGGCTTACCTAATAAGATGGGTTAGGTGTTATCACGACTTGGTGGCATTTTTGGGTCTTGACACATGTAAAACCATAATCCCAGAATAAATGAGTTTAGCCACGTATAGTCATGGTAGAAGTCTCAATTAATTCCCAAGAATACATAAAAATTAATAAAAGAAGGGAGTAAGAAGAACTCAAGATGAATTCCACAGTCTTCGAACTCTATGATGGCTTTTCTCCGCTTCAAAGTGTGTGAAATGACATAAAAGCTACATTTTTTCTTTATATATTGCGGCCAAAAGTAGTGAGTCAAAGTTTTCCTTTTCCTTTTCCTTTTTCGAGTCAGCTTCAGGGATTAATACTAAGCCGGATGCTTCGCGTCCACTTCAGCTTAAAATTTCTAGTAGCGAATGTTGGGGTAGATGCTTTGCATCAAGTTTTGTTCCGTTCGTTCCTTTAACTGAGTTATGTTTTGTATCCAAAAGTCCTAAGATATCAAACACAACTTAGTTAATAAAAAATTAATGATTAATATGAGTTGGGCATATTTTGTTAGGGATATAGAAGATATGCCCTATATCCAATTTCATATTTGATGATTTGAACATATTTTTCGGAACTTTATTTGATATAAAAATATATGGCATTTGATATTCTTTTATCATAGTTATTATAATTGCTTGATTAACTTGGTAAGGTACTTGATTAAAAATTTTGAGACTTGACATTGTGATGGAGATCATGATAATGAAAGTGAAGTTTCTTTTAGTTTCATCTAAATTTGTTCTTGATCATAAGATTATTAATTTGGACATTAATAACCCGGTTAGGTCAATATTTATGTGATCGTCTTTATTGGATAAAGATTAGTTGATCTCATTAACTAAATCATATAGATAGATGATGCATATAGAGATATGATCGTTGAACCGACACATTGGATAATTCCTCATGGTTAGAATTACCATAAACTGTCAATAGGATATTCTCTTGTAGAATGTGATGTAAGAGTTTCCTTTGATTTGAGATCGTCATAGTAATTGACAAGTTATTTATTGTGCTTTGATACCAGACACCTAGGCCCTAGAGCGATAGGTGAAAGGATATTGGGTATGATTAAATGCTTGTAGAATTAGTGATTAATTAAGATGGAATCTGTCAACTCTTGGTAATGAGTTTAAACTCCATGTTGTCATGAATTATAAACGACCAAACTAAGACCTTAGCCTAGACGATTGAATGAAAGAAGAAAATAGTTTCTTATGTTATTCAATGGTCGATTATGTCTGACATGAACACATAGTTGGTCGCCTATTAAGATTTGACAGTTGAATCATATCCTAGGGTGACTTAGAGCTATAAGGACAGGAGGAAATATTACTTTATTCTTCTACTGGTTCTTGAGAGTAAATTGTATACTTCATGCTATGCGATCGTTAAGGAGTGTTACTAGACACCACCCTTGATTAGTATATTGATGTGATCAATTTACTATCGGTTTAGTATTGAACCTATGAGATCACACACTAACGACTGTTCTGATCTTTGCTAAATGATTAATTATTTTATTTGATAATTAAATTAAAGAATTTAATTAGTCAAATAAATTAAAATATTAGTCCATATAAAATATTATTATATTATTTGCTAGCACAGAGGATGTAATTAATATTGTGAACAAATTGAAGTTTTCTATTTGGAATAGAAAATTAAGTTATATCTCTTGGTTGAAATATATATGTAATATTTATTCAATACTCATATTTAACATTTATTTATATATGGGATATATATAAATATTAATAAAGACTACTTGTTAATTCCAATTAGAATTGGACTAACGAAAAAAGTCCATAAAAGACGTCGCCAGCTTCTTACCTATATGGAAAGGGACTGGAATTTTCCATTGAAAATTATGGAAAAGAAGTCCAATTCTAGAATTGGCTATAGTCCACGAAGGACGTTGACGGCAGCAACCCATTTAGAATGGGATTACAATTTTTTTTCTTAATTATTCCATAAAGTTTATTTTGAAACAAACTTTTATCCTAAGTAAATCATTACCTCAACCAAGTAGGAAAAGGGTTTATAGGTGATGCTATATATTAAGGGTGATGGAAAAAATATACCGTGCTAATTCTTCAGAAAAAAAGTCACTTTATGAAAGTGAGTCCAATACAAAGCCAAGAGAGAAAATACAATTACTAGAAAAATATTTTTTGTTCTTCTACCTTTGAGTTGGAATTTTTGAAAAATATTTCATCACAATATTTTTCATTCAATTTGTTCGACGGTTTCATTAATCAAAGAGTTGATTGCAAGAATCGGTCTCGGTGTAGATACGCATAGTGTCTTCGCACAATCGAAGAAATTTGAAACGAGACTCTCTTCACCAGGTACGTCTCAGATTAGATCTTTGATATATAGATAAATTTTAAACACAAAAAGATCTTCCTAGGATTGTTATTGTCTTCCGCTACGTGTTACAAGCACTTGTATGCAATTCTTCGTATTTAACACAAAATAACACACATAAATGGTCAAAACATGAGCAAAATAATATTAAAATACATAAAAATATGCCACAACATCAGATATCCACGTTTTTGGGTGGTTAGGATTGCATATTTTAATGGATGGTCCATAAAGAGATTCTTCCCTTTTAAGTTTGGATGGGATGAATTGGGAGAAAAGTTGAACAAAGCATTTCGGAATATTTACTTATTTTTTTAATTTTTAAGACTTTGGTAATCAAATAAAATTTGTCTTATTAAATCATTAATAATTTGATTTTCATTCGTCTACTACTATTGCATGTAGGATATTCAATTTATTATATTCATTATTTTCATTATCAAATTTTACTTCGTCAAGAGTTTCGTCCAACTCATTATCACGTTCTTAAGAAAAGGATTGCTTGGTAGGGATAGTAATCATTTTCTTACTATCTATGGTTTTTAAGAAAATATCTATGATTTTGGCAATATCTTAATTAAGGGTGGCTGTCCGTGCACTATGACTAGATTGCACGGGAACCACATAAGTCCAAAAAAGTTAAAGACTTCTTCATGTTTGATCCCTTTCCTTGTCCCTCCACCTAGTTATTGTTTTTTCTTTTTTGAAAAATATTTATATTATTTCTTTTACCCATTAGAAAGTTTGAAAAAATAATTTAGGGATCGAGTGATACTTTTGGAAAAGCAAACCCAAAACCACTCTAAGAAATATCTTTCCCAATTCAGACAGTACCAATATTTTCGTCCAAAATAAAAACAACTCTAAAACCAAAACCAAAGCCAAAGCCAAATCAATTTCTAATATAACTGATTCTTGAGTGATTTAAATAAGCTTTTAGCCTTACTTTGTTTCCGAGAGTATTTGAGACTTAAGGCAAAATAATCCAGAATTCTCTAAGTTTTACCTCCGTCTGTCTTTCCTTCTCTCTTTTCAGCCGTCGCTCTTGCCGTGGTATTTGGTAGGACAATTTGTAAGTTCTTGTCCCATGTGATTAATAATACTCTATTTATATATGTTTTTGTTTACTTCCTATATATTTGAGCTTTCGCATGATTTGAGTTTTAATCATGCTCATATTTTATGATTTGAGTTTCTTATTCCATTATTATACCCCTCTTTCACAATTCTGAATCATATTACATTATAAAAAAGAAAATTGCAATTTAACATGGCTTTATTTTTCTCCGTTTCTTTTCTTATTTTCTGCTTCATACGTCATGGCACTTCAATGCTTCACATGGACTACAGAACTCTTGGGTTCATTATTCAATATCATATGTAAAGATGAAGAAGATCTTGCAGAAACTTTCGGACGTTTGCCAGATTGTCTCATCATTGATGTTCTGAGTAGACTTCCATTAGATTGCCTTGTTAGATTTCAAAGGGATTGTAGGGATTTGAGAGCTTTGATCTCAACACACGATTTTGCCACCGTACATCTCAGTAGAGCTAGACCCATGCTGCTCATACATGATTTTGTCAAGAGTACCAAGAACGGGCAGCAACTATATGTGTTTGGTACTGAACATCTTAATGGGAAGAATGTGTTCAGGAAACTTCATCTCAGACCTGAGCTTATGATCAATAATAAACGCTGGGAAAAACCCCCAATTCTTCAATACTCTTGTCAAGGAGTTCTTCTGTTTGTTGATCGCATGTGGCCTATTTATTATGCTTTGAACCCGATAACACAAGAGGAAGTAACCATAAAAAATACACCAGTCCCCGGAAAATCATGTGCTCTTTATTTTTGTCCATTAACAAGACAATTCAAACTTCTTTATGCACAGGCACGAGGCAGTTTGTGTCAGTATTTTGTATACATGTTCAAGACACGGACGTGGAGGAAAATCCATTCATCGTCCACCTTCAACTTTTTGCCATATCTTAACTCTCACGCAGTTGTTAATGGAGCATTGCATTGGATCATGTATGCTGATTTTGAAAAAGAAGGGATTCCTCCTTGTGCAAATGGAATCATGGTATTTAGAATGGATAAGGAAGAACTCTCCGCTATGCCTCATCCTGGAAGTGTGTGTACCTCAAAGAAAGTGCATACAACTATGACTCTTTTAGTGAAGGAAAACTGTTTGTCTTTCTGTCACTTGCTTGTCTCTGAGTATGCAGTGGATATATGGATCTTGGAGGACTATAAAATGAGGACATGGAACAAAAGGTACAAGGTTAATCTCTTTGATAAGAAAATTTTTCCTTTTAGTTTGCCTTACACTCGGCCCGGGTCGACATCTATAGACGTGTATTGGTGGATAAAGCTTATTAATATCCAAGGCGGTGAACTTCTCTTTTACTTGTGCGATAGAGGTTTATTTTCTTATAATTTAGATCATAAAACTGTGAAGATATTTGAATTACCGCAACAAAAAGAGTCATATGCTTGTAGGACTTATATAGAGAGCCTGCTGGCAATAACTTAATTCACCTCACATTTTATTCTTATTCTTTATCTTTCTACTTTTGGTGCTTTGTTAAGTTATCAAATACCGTTGTTAGGGGCAGAGGCGGATCTCAGATTTGAGTACAACGGGGCACACTGTCTTTAAATATGCTAATTACTTGCCACAAATTTCGGCTTGCAACTCTTTAAAAACTTAACGATTATAATAATGCATCAACAAAGTCCAAATTCTCAGTCATTGTCGCCGAATCGTTAGATGCTACTACTTTGTCGAAGTAATTGTCGAAGGAGGGAGAAGGATTCGTAGTGTTTTATTTTCAGAAATAGGAGCTACTGTTTGAAGCTTTTGATATTGAGGGAGGGACTTGAAAAACAATAACATTAATTAAATTAAGTTGATTATTAAAAAAAAATGATAATTGAATTTAAAAAGATACAACAAAAAAATCACTTGACTATTAAGTATAAGAATCATTGAAAGCAGTAAAGTAGAAGGACCTAAAACGAAAGAGTTGGGTTTCAATCCCAAGACAACCTGCAAAGCAGGGAGCTTCAACACACACTCATCCAACTTTACTATGCGGCCTTTTGTGATTTTGGGGGCACCAATAAAATATTTAATCGGTCTTTCATGTATATATCTATATACACAAAATATATATACAATAATTTTGTGGAGGCCAACAGGTTCTTGTGACCCCCTACGGCTAATGTAGGTCCGTCCCTGCTTAGTGAAAGTTCAATGTGTTTATACTTTTTTTTGCACTAGAATTGGAAAAACTCTTAATCATTGCGCGTTGACAATTTTTTCTCAAATGTAGTTATACATCGCGCGTTGTATGATTTACGCAATGAAGTGAAATAATATTTGAAAGCATAATACTGATAAGTTTTATTCTACATCATAATGTGCAAATTTATTTTGCAAAGAGCGTAAACTTTTATTTTACTATAAAATAGGGGAACTATGCTATTATATTAATATCATACATGTTGTTGTCTCAAATTCCATAAATTTTGACGCAAATACATAACAAAGTTCATAGTTCAAGATCTGTGGAGAAAAAGATTTGGAGGGCCTTCTTAATACATGAATGTTGAAATAAAATTTAGCAATGTATCTTAAACATTCATTCCAATGTATTAAATACAAAATTAAGACACTCAAACATATTATGAGGTAAAGAATAAAGCTCATTAACAATTGTATGGGGTAAAAAATAATTTTATACTCATTAATTATCATCGTTGACAGTGATCATACTTATGAATTACCATAATAAATAAGTACTACAATAGTAATTGATATGTAAGTATACAACGGTTTATGATAACATGCTTTTGGTATCAAATAAGTGATTAATCTTTTTCATCTCAATGTCTATCACACAAAATGGACATTTATCTCATTTTCTGCAGTTCCACTTATTAGCAGATGTTGGTCTAAGCGGTTTTAATTTTGATGATTGACAAAGGAACACATGCATGAACTAGGTCTATGGACAGTGTACACAGGTCACAGACAGAATCAAGAAAAAGGCATACATGTGAAAGGGATAAGTATAAGTGGTTATATCTGATATTTCCTGAACGAAAATGTTACATAATTGATAAGGAGCATGACTCCTTACTTGAAGAGAACTCTATCCAAGATAAGGAAGGAGTTAGAAGTTGAAGATAACTAGAACTCTTTCACCAGGAAAGAGTATAACATTAAAACTGTAGTTAATCTGATTCTACTAACTCTATGAATATCAGTTTGTTCTCTTCTAACACATACATACAGAAGTAAAAGCACGAATCGAGAGCAAAATAGCAAGGCATTTTGTGAGCAATTCCTGTGAGATTTAAGAGTGTGATCCTGAAGCCTCATGAATCAGATTGAAGAACAAGTTCCATAAAGAGTTTTATGTGTTGTCTTTACTTCTAGTTCATAGTGTAGTATGCGTTTTGAGTTGTACTTTTCAGCTTTCTTAGAAGAAAATTGTACTAGGTATATGAGTTGTATTGTTCAAGTTAGAGTTAACTTGAAGCAGTTGCAACAGCCTGTGGCGTGTTTCCAAAAGGGTTAGGGTTAATCCTTAGGTTTGCAAGAGATTGTAAACCTGAGTTGTATCTTTCAAGTTAGAGTTAACTTGAAGTAGTTGCAACAGCCTGTGGCATGTTGCCACAAAGGTTAGAGTTAATCCTTAGGTTTGCAAGAGTTTGTAAACTTTGTTGTTGGCTCAGAGTTGTAGTGAATTATTTGGAGAAAATCCTACTGGGTAGTAGATCATGATTTTTTTACCTTTTAAACCGGGTATTTTTCACGTAAATATCCTTGTGTTCTTTACTTTCTGCATTATTTATTCCGCAACTGTAGTGTAAGGAACGCATAGAAGAATCAGGTCCTTCGATAATCTAGTGCACACGAAAATTAGGTACCACACAAATCAGCCCCCTCTTGTGTGGTATTAAAGTATAAAACATCAATTGGTATCAAAGCAGGTTATCCTTGAAGAGGCTAACATCTTAGGAATAGATCAAGACGAGTGCATTACCTGAAAACTGTAAAGAGTAATCCACCACTAGGCCACCACTATCCAATGGTTACTACTATTGCCTATGGAAGGAGAGGAGAAGAGATCACTTGAAAATGACTAAAGGATGCTTCAAATATGGAAAAAAGAACCCCATGATCAAGAGCTGTCCTCTATGGGAAGTCGAGTGGAAAAAGGAGACATCTAAAAGAAGAAACAGAAAGAAGGAAAAAGTTCATGATAAGAAGAAATATAACAAAGGACCATCCAAAGTATTGTTTACTACCTGGAAAGAATGTTCAGATGAGGACTTTGATAATGATGATGCTGAACGAGCACTTATAGAAATTCAAGAATCTGAAGATGAACTGATGAAGAATCTGAGATAAGTCTTCTGGACCTAAAGGATAAAAATAAATTCCTTTCTAAAGATAGAGTATCAGAACTTTTGCTAACTTTAATTGATGAATCTAAGAATATAAGTTTTGAAAAATAACAGTTGTCAAAAGAGTGTAACTTTTTAAAAGCATAACGCAAAAACCTGGAAATTAGGGCCTGTGAAATTAAAAAATAAAATACTACTTTGAAGAACCAGGTTCATGCACTTGATACATCTGTTCTAGAACTTAGATCTGAACGATATGAGTACGGATATTACCAGTGCGTCATTGTGGGGCTGAACGATGCCTTCGGCGTCCTCATCGTTGAAACACAAGGTTCCTTCCGGCACGTAATCTCGAGTTCATTTTTCTCTTGTGATGGATACTTTAGTGCACTTTAACATCGGCCCCTGGGGGATGTCAACCCCACCGATGATCATGTTAATGACATGCTGAGATTCCTCCTGCTCGATCTCTCTACTATCGTCCCTATTCCTGAAATGGTTTTTTGCTCTATCGCTCAGGAACTCTAGGAGATGTACGTTGTTGAATAACCGGGCCACCTCCTCTCTCAACTATCCGCAATCTTCTGTTCTATGACCGTGAGTGCCATGATATTTGCACATTAGGTTGGGGTCCCTTAGGGCTAGATCGGACTATAGGGGTCGAGGCCACTTGGTGTCTTTGATGCGTCCGATGGCAGATACGATGGCAGCAACATCAACATTGAAGTTATACTCCGATAACCTTAGAGCCTTCCTCCTTAGGCCCGACGGGCCTATCGAAACTGTTTTTGCTCATGAGTCCCCGGTTATTTTGACTTCGATCGCTTCTCCTCTCACTTTTCACGGGGTTTCACCCAGATCCGTTACCTCTTCGATCCCCGTTGTATGGTTGATAATGAACCCTGCTTGATCTCGGTTCACGATCGATGTCTCTCTTGACCCTGTCAATAGTCCTGACGGGATAAACGGACTCGGAAGGGCCCCCAAGCTGATCATCTTCGACCCGAATTTTTGATTGGTACCGGTTATGTAATGACCCAACCGGTCATTTTGACTTTTAGAACCATGTTCCCCTAAATAAAACTTTCTGAATGTACTTTTAATAATTTATGACTTGCGGGGATGGTTGGTTCAGAATTTGGAAGTGATCGGGTTGAAATCGGAACAATTGGTTCCTTAGTTTGGCTTTAAAAGGCCAAGTTTGACTTCGGTCAACATTTTGAGAAAACGACCCCGGAATTGGGATTTGACGGTTCCAATAGGTTCGTATGATTATTTCGGACTTGGGCGTATGTTCGAATTAGGTTTTGGATAACCCAAGAGCGTTTTAGCGCTTAATAGTGAAAATCAAGTATTTGAAGGTTTAAAGTTCTTTAAATTTGGTTTGGAATAGGTTTTGGAGTAATCGAGGTCCGTTTGAAATTCTGAGTTTGGGAATAACTCCATATAGTGATTTAAGATTTGCACACAAAATTTGGTGTCATTTCGAGTAGTATAAGTATATTTCGGCGCGTTCGGAGTAAGTTGGAAGAATTTTAAATTTCTAAGTTGAATCAATTTGATTTGGGGTATGATTCTTAGATTTGATATTATTTTATATGTTCCGAGAGTTCGAGCGAGTCTGTTTTATGATTTCAAACCCGTTGGTATGTTCGGGCGGGCCCCCGAGTGTTAACCGGACGAGGCTCGGACCAATTTTGGAATTTTGAAGAAGAGCTGAAGCCTTCTGCTTCTGGTACATTCGCACCTGCGCTTGGACAGCCGCAAGTGCGACCCTCGTAGATGCGAGTTCTGTCTGCAGAAGCGGAAAGGGAAGGGGCGCAATCAACCGCAAATGTGGATTTTCTTTGCGCACCTGTGAACGCGCAGGTGCGAGGCAACGCGCGCAGATGCGAGAGGGGCAGTCGAGTGAAACTCGCACCTGTAAAGCTTTTACGCAGGTGCGGAAGCCGCAAGTGCAGTACACCTTCCACAGATGTGAAACCACTGCTTGGAAGAATGATTAAAAATTAGGGCTCAGACATTTTGAGCCCATTTTCGGGCAATTTCAGAGCTTTTGAGAGGGGAGTTCAACTAACAACTTGGAGGTAAGTTAATTCTACATACTTTGAGTTA